TCCACCGTTGCCTCCCGTGCCTGCGATGGCGGGCGGCCTCGCCCCAACCACTTATGAGCAATCTCCCGGGACTACGAGTAACCCCCTCACGGCCATTCCAGCACACGGGGGTGAATTATGCCGGGCCGATCCTGCTGCGCTGTTCCAAGGGGCGAAGTCAGAAGTCCATCAAGGCCTTTATCGCAGTCTTCGTCTGTTTCAGCATCAAGGCTGTACACTTAGAGGCCGTCACCGATTATACCGCAGAGGCCTTCCTAGCTGCCTTTCGACGATTTGTCTCTCGTCGAGGCTTATGTGAAGTAATGTACAGCGATTGCGGTACTAACTTTATAGGCGCTGAGGCAGAACTTCGAAGGCTCTTCGCGGCCAGCGGACATGAGGCTCAGCGCATATGTACGGCCTTGGCAGAGGAGCGAGTGCAGTGGAGATTCAATCCACCTTCCGCACCTCACTTCGGCGGCCTCTGGGAGGCGGCGATGAAGTCTCTTAAACACCACCTGCGCAGAGTGATCGGCGACTCCAAGCTAACATACGAAGAAATGTCCACATTCCTCTCGCAAACCGAGGCCTGCCTCAATTCAAGGCCACTGCAACCATTGACCGACGATCCAGAGGACCTAACCGCATTAACCCCGGGTCACTTCTTGGTGGGAACAGCCCTCTTATCAGTACCAAAACCTACCCTCGTTGATGTGCCTCGTTGAATCGCCTCTCCCGCTGGCAGCATGTTCAACAAATGCGGGAGCATTTCTGGAACCGGTGGTCTCAGGAGGACCTTCATAGCCTAGCAGCACGCCCTAAGTGGTGGAAGGAAAGCTCAGCGCCGAAGGTAGGGCAGCTGTGCCTCGTACGCAAGGAGGTGACGCCGCCCACGCGATGGCCATTAGCTAGGATTACCGCTCTACAGCATGGTGACGGAGGCCGCGTGAGAGTGATAACCGTAAAAACGACTACGTCCGAGCTAACGCGTCTCCTCGTGAAACTCGTTCTTCTCTCTGCCGAGTCGTCGGAGGACTGGCAACAGTTCGACGGCACTACCGGTACCGCCATGATCAATCTCGTTCGTCCGTTTCACTGGACGAGGCGGGCGGGATGTTCGGATTTGACGCAAGGATTCGCAATTTAAACGGAGCGCGGCGCCAATGAGCGCTCCCCGCAGCCACGAGGAGCGCACGTGATAGCCAGCGCGCCAATTGTCACGTCGGAAGGTTCGGGAAATTGCTAGATCTTTGGAAACCGGACGTGAATCGAGCCGTCATCCCGCCGGACGAAGAAAGTAAGTCTGCGGTCGGGTACTCGTGATCTGGACGCGAACCAGTAAACACTTGCCGTGACCTATCGTGAGACGCATATCGCGATAGATATTCACGCGATCGAAGTCGTGAAGTTGCCGCGCTACCCGTGCCGAGTCGCATCCCGAAATTGCAACTTGCGAGCGATTTCTGCGAACGCGCAATCGAATCGAGCGAACCGAAAGCCTCAGACCCGCGAGCTACCCTCTCGAGAAGTCCTCTCCGCGAAGGGAATGGACTACGCGAACGCAGAGAAGAGAGTGAATTGTTGTATCAACCTTAGTGGATAATTTCGTGCAGTTTAATTCGTGAAATAAAGAAGCTGTTATTAGTGATTCTTGTGAAGTTTAGTAATCCCTCCTGCAGTCGGAAACATTGGTCCTTCGAGCCAGATTCTTCAATATCGTGATACCGAAAATGGAAACGCTGATTGCTGCTCAAGAGGAGCTATTCGGTCGGATCGGCCGAACGCTCGAGAATTTAAAGAAGACAGGGGCCGCCAAGATAACGAGCCCGCTGATTGACACCACGCTCGCGCTGCTTGATCAAAAGTGGGAAAAGGTGATGGAGCAACATGAACAATTACGCTCCAACCATTGGGCCGAATTAAAGAAGCATGATTATTATCTAACGGACTGCTTAGGTCAAATTGAAGAACTTTACGTTACACAAAGGATGGCCCTGCTTGAGCTCCAAGAAACGCTGGTGGCCAGTAAGACCGAACCTGCGCGCGCTGCCACGCGGTCGATCACGTGATCTCACCCCCGCGCACTACCTTACCCCGCATTCAACTGCCGAACTTTTCCGGCAATTACGAGGATTGGCCAGCCTTCCGAGACCTGTTCGTCTCTCTCATAACCAAGGATCCCTTCATTTCGGATGTCACTCGATTACATTATCTCAAGGCGAATTTACGAGGAGAAGCCGACATGTTGGTACGAAACCTCCTTACAACGGACAAAAACTTTAGTCGCGTGTGGCAAATCCTCGTGAACTATTACGAGAACACTCGCCTTTTGGTACGGTCATACTACGCCGCATTCACGGCCCTACCAAAAATGAAAAGCGAGTCCGCGGCTGAATTGCGTAAGGTATTCTACTGCGTCACTAATACCGTCGGAGCCCTGGAGAGTATCGGCCGCCCAGTGAACAGCAGTGAGGATCTATTAGTGCACCTCACCATCGAATTACTGGACCCCCGATCACGACGCGAATGAGAGAACTCAATGAGCACCACCACCGAACCAGCGTCGTACTTCGACTTACGACAATTGTTGGAGCGCCGACTTCATACTCTGGAGGTGCTTCAACCTGTGAAGGCGGAAGAACCTCTCGCCAAGACGAATGATCGGAGCAATCGACCTGCTCGCTCGCATTATGCCCAACAGGAGCCCGCGAAAAGAGAAAGAAGTCGTTGTCCAATGTGCTACCAAGACCACTACTTGCTGCTCTGTGACGAATTTTGGAAAAAGACCGCCGTAAAGAAAAGGCGCTTCGTGGAGGAAAGCAACTTATGCCTCAACTGTTTAGGAAAACACAAGGCCAGTGACTGCCTATCAAGGCGCAGTTATGCCGCCTGCTACGAGCGACATCATGCGACCATCCACGATGCCTATCGCGCGCCCGCGATTGAAACGAATCTAGTGACAGCGGAACTCCCGAGGACGTCCCACGCCGCGCGGTGGCCAGTCGAAGAAACAGTAGCCGTGCTCCTCGCCACGGCGCGAATTAGGGTACGAGACCGCGGCGGCGATTGCACTCCGCTCGGGCGCTAATAGATCAAGGATCAAAGATCTCCATTGTTACTGAAGCTCTTGCGCAACGA